ATGAAATTGACAGTGAAGGCAGTAATATTGAGAGTTAGTTGTAACTGCAAGAACTTTTTAATGCTGTCGCATACGCACCTTCCCAATTTCATGATGGTAAAGATTGTCAAGAAATTTCTGTTCAAGACAACGATGTCAGCATCTTCTGCAACATTTAGGTCACCCATGAAAATCCCAACATCAGCTTCCTTTAGAGATGGGCAATCTCTAAAGCACGTACCAATTGCTGCTACTACCTTATTTTTCTGTTTCAGGCACTGCACAAACTGTAGTTTGTCAGTAGGAGAGGTATTGGCCATTACATGGATTTTGTCTATTGCGTTCATGCGTTCTTCTTCGCTTCTCTTGCGGAAATCTGATGCATCAATCACAGCTCCTTCAATTTCATCTTCGGGCCTTAAAACTCCAGAATAAAGGGCCATGATTCTTGATGTGGTTATGTCCGTGTCCACGAGTAACTTGAAAGAAACACCACAAGCTCGACAATCTTGAATTGCTTCTCTCACCTCAGGCGGATATGGATTTTTCATGCTCACCAGGGCTAGAAAGATTAGGCCATGTTCCAAGGGTTTTAAAGTTTCTTCAGTGTCATCAGGATCATCTTCTTCAATTTCGCCTTCTTCGAATTTCGATGGTTCCTTTTCTTCCTGGTTTACTTGTTTATAAGAAAAGGCCAGGACCTGGAGACCATTGGATGCAATTTTCTGAAATTCTCTATTTAAAAAATCTTTTTTATCATCATCTAGGGTTTGCGTGGTTCCATCCCCCTGACAATAATGCGAGCACATGAATAGTATTTTTTCTAATTCTCCACTCCAATGAACATGCAGAACTCTGCCTGCCTCTTTATGTTTCTTTAGCGTCAGACCACAAGAATTATCGTTGAGATCAAGAGATTTATTATCAATGATAGTACAAGAAGTACTGAAATCAACCATATCAGTACCAAGCACACGGTGAGCCCAATAGGAGAGAGTATTTCCTTCGCCGCAGCAAGAAACATAAGCACAAACTACATCTTGCAAAATAGCGAGGACTTCTCGAGATACTTCTGTAGAGACATCCTTAATAAAATCGAAGCCAATCCACAAATCGGCCATCTCTGAATGCTGCAAAATGAGATCATTTGTCATCCCAGTGCAGATTGTGGTGATTGAGCTGATCGTAGCACATGCTGGAAGTCTTCGAACTATGGCCTCGTGGGACTTTATTTTATTTGATGCATAAACAAAAGAGATGAAAATGCCTAGAGGCAAACCATCTCTCAAAGCGAAGAGTAATATGCTAAGAACAGCAACCAATCCACTCCCTTTGATGCCTTGCTTCTTCATCAGCTTTGCCGATTCATTCATCAAATCCTCTACTGTGTTCTTCACACCCTTTGGATCCGGGTTGTGACTGTCGTCACATTTGTCTGAATAGGACAGGAAACATTCGAATAGCTGCACCACAAGAATCAATAATGAGAGACTCAGCCAAATTTTCTCCAGACGGGAGTTGGTATTATCGATAGAGACTTGCAGCCTGGATTCTTGGTTATCATTTTTCTGAGTACTGCTCACAGATCTCAATAAACGACTTCTTTCTGTGTTCATGCCGACTGATACCACAAGCATTCGGCAGTTGCCCTCCTTCACTTTTGCACCAGTAAAAAGAGAAGGATTCTTGTAATAATTGGAATAGCTCCAGGCAAAACCACCGTCAAGATTAAATAATGAGTTACCCTCAATAAATAATCCATCAGCGGGGACCTGATTACCAGCCTGTAAGCAGACTATATCACCAACCACTATTTCAGAATCTGAAATTTGTAGCATTTTCCCACGTCGAACCACCCAAGAAAGTTTTTTATTCTTAGACAATCTCCTTCGTCTTATTCTGGACTTGATAAATCTACAGATTAGACCAAAATAGAGGACAAAAAAGATGGCTGAAAATATTATTACTCCATCCCTAAGCCCTTCAACTGGCCCGTTTCTCTTGATTCCAATTACAGCAGACAGTACAGCACAACACAGAAGAAGGATTAAACATCACAGAAAGTTTGGATCGTTTGCTAGCCGAAAGAAGCCATCTACCACCGTGGGAAACGGTTTCTCCTCCAAGTATAAGTTGGGGCCAAATGCTTTGTGGCGGCGGTAAAGATCTCCGGCTTCCCCTCTTATTCCTGTTTCTGCATTAGTTTCTAGTGCTGCCATTAATCCTGGCATGCCACCAAATGGCTGAAGAGAGTCGATGTCGTTAGCTTGCACTAATATTGCTAGACATTCCTGGTTTATTCTGAACATGGGGACTTCTGCTGGATTTCCATAGTTGAGCATTGAATCCGCCATGGGCAAGAAAAAGATTTGTTCCTGAACAGTGTCTGTTTTTGTGTGGGTGGGGTGTGGGGATAAAATTTATGATAGACCGTTGGGAATAATAGTTAAGCTAGAGAGAAGGTTTAGTTACAATCAAGAAGTCATAAGGTTTATCTTCGTATTGTTTTGTTTGAATGCCTTGAAGAAAGGAGAGATTAACAACATATAAAGAAAAATGAAGTTAGAGAATCTTGAAGAAATGAACGCGAAAAGTTAGGAAGTTCAATGGTATTTTCTAAGAATATATAATAATGCTATTCAGGTATCCTTAACAACTGTCTAGGAATTTCCCTTTATTGTTAAATGAATTATTTGTTCTGAGTCATTTTATGCTTTGTTTTTATTTGGTTGAATAATAATATCATCAACGCTTGTTGTTTCATCTTAAAAATTTGACATTGTTAAGATTAGGAGCTTACTACATTTTGAAGTTCGTATGCTTCTTTGATTATTAGTCACATTGAATTGTTCAGTCGAGCCCCTATCTAGATTTTATTTTAAGTCAAATTCAACAATTTATTTCATCCACATATTTTATGGGTCCTTCAACTTTTTAACCATGTATTTCATTAACTTCCATTAAAAATCTGATTTTAATCCCCACCAAACGAGGGCATATGAAGACTTGTTATTCTTCTATTTTAAAATGAGTAATTCAAATTCTTATATATTTTATATTTATCCAATATGAGCTCAAAGTCAATAATTAATTTTAATCACATATACCATATGACCCACAACTTTTGAATCACACGTTTCATTAACTTTTATTAAAATTTGCTAAAAAGTTTTATTTTAATTTTTACCAAACAAAGGTTAAATGTCTAATTATATTTTTCTCTTCTCATTACTGAATTGTATACTATACAACAATTTTTTCAACCTAAAAAAACTCAAATAATTTGTATGTCATTGACAATAACATCTCAATGCCTAAATGGTTATATTTTTAGAATTGAACTTTGTTGCCAGATTTTTTAACATCTTTATTGACAGAAGATGTGTAAAAAATGCTTGGATGTCATAATTTTTTTGAAAATTTCTGAATTTCCTCGGAGAAATTACTCAGCTTTTTCATCAATTAGCCACAAA